AGTATCATGTTATTCAGCGGGGTTTACTCCCAGGCAAGCGTCCTCACGATTGCCGTCGAAGAGTATCACAAGACTGCATGCTGTCAGTAAAAGCACAATTCTGTGTAATCCAGATAGAGACTAGAAGGTTAAACTGAGCCTGTGTCACCAGAAGAAACTACCTTCTGGACTTCACAAGGATAAATCTTTCATTTTTCCAGCCACCTCCATGCCAGGCATGTTAGCTGGCTGTGGGTCAGCAGAGGGAGTTGCTGTGCACAATTTGCGAATATTTCTAATAGAGCAGTTACTGTGCCAACAGCCTGGCTACGAGGCAACATTCAGAGGGTTCCCTCAGGTAAGAGTTGGCAGGGGAGGGCTCACCCAAGTTCTTAAAACTTTAAAAATTGGTACTGTGTTTTGTTGCTGCAAGAGGAAAAAAATCTGGAAAATGTAGCAGGGGAGATTGTGCCCAGAAAATGCTTCCCACCGAAAGTTCCCATAGGTGAGCCTTTTTCTTTAGGCAGAGAAACGGTTGCCAGTCCTCAGCAATGGGTGCTTGTCTCTCAAGTACTTCTGCTAGCCATTCACCTGCCATTCATATTTCTCCTGGAATTCCGGAGACTGAGGCTCAAAGCAGGCTTTATGGCTTTTAACGAAACTGGTGACTGTTCTCAGACCTGACACTCATCTCCCACCCCCACCCCCCAGTCACAAACTCAGACTTGACTCCTTAAAAGTTGTGATTCTAGTTTTGAGGTTGAGGACACTGCTACAAGGCGTCTTTGCAGAACTCCTCCATCAAGCAAGGCACAAATAGCAAGGTGCAAAGATGAGGGCGGGGGATGTTGCAGTTGCTTCTGGGACCAGATGGAACTCTGTTGTTGTTGTAGATATAAAAAAAAGAGTAAGAGTCCAGTAGCACCTTAAAGGCCAACAAAATTTGTGGTGGGGTATGAGCTTTCGTGAGTCACTGCAGTGATTAATGAAAGCTCCTACCCCGCCACAAATTTTGTTGGTCTTTAAGGTGCTTACTGGACTCTTGCTCTTTTATACTGGTACAGACCAGCACAGCTACCCATCTTGTTGCAGATGGTTTTTGATTATCTAATAGCATTTGGGCCATTTTTTAAAACATTGCTACTTAGCAAATTAATACAATTGACTTCATGGGTCTAGCCTATGAGCCAGGTGAATTTAATTTTTTTACTTTACTGAGCATTTAATTAAACATGCAGGTAAAGCAGTAAAGCAAGATACCCCTTCTGAAAAAGTCCTTGAGAGGGTGGGGAGGATTTGGTGGGGTGGAAATCTCCACTACACTAACTTTTTGATCAAAATAGTCCCATTTATGTGGCCGAGGAAGGAAACACTGAGAGGTGTAAAAACAAAACCCACCCTTTATCAGAAGGTCTTTCATGTCAGGCCAACCATGCTGACAGGAAGAGAAAGATGGTGGGTTTATAGATTTGCATCTGAGCTGTGACAGCTCCCTGTCAACTATAGATTAAAATGTCTTGAGTTTGTACAGTTAATATGGCTAAATGTCCAGTTCCAAAACAAGGATATTAGATAAATCTCATACTGTACCTTTTGTAGCTGTAAGATTAGTCTTATTGTAGTCACATGTATTTACAGGATTAAATGCCAGTCCTTTAATTGGGTATGGGTAGTTTTAACTACATAAGAAGAGCCCTGCTAGATCAGATCAATAGTCTATCTAGTCCAGCATCCTGTCTCACACAGTGGCCAACCACTTCCTCTGGACAGCCAATAACAGGGCACCGAGGCCAAAGCCTTTCCCTGATGTTGCCTCTTGGCTTTGGGATTTTGAGGTGTAGAGCCTCTGAATGTGAAGGTTCCCCCAAGTCACCATGGCTAGTAGCCATTGATAGACTTATCCTCCATGAATCTATCTAATCCCCTATTAAAGCTGTTTATTCCTGTGGCCATCACTACATCCTCTAGCAGCAAATTCCACATTTTAATCACTCTCTGGGTAAAGTAGTATTTCCTTTTGTCTGTCCCAAGTCTACTGCCCATCAATTTCATTGGATGCCCTTGAGTTCTAGTATTTTGGGAGAGGGAGAAAAAGTTGTCTTTGTCAATTCTCCCCAACCCATGCATAATTTTATAAACCTCTGCCTTTCCCCCCCCGAAGCATCTCTTTTCTAAACTGAAAAGTCCCAGACTCTTCAGCTTTTCCTCAGAGGAAAGGTGCTCCAACCGCCTAATTATCTTGGTTGCTGTCCTCTGTAGTTTTCCCAGCTCCGCAATGTCATTTTGTGAATGTGTGCACTCACACAGTTCTTGGTTGTTGTTTTTTAAAGTAACTGTAGTGGCCTGAAAATTTTTAAAAAACACACGCACCCAAACTTCACTTCCAGTTCACACTAAGCTTTTTGGTCTGATCACCTGAAGGGAATTCTTACTCGACGCAAACAGCCAGATGAGTGGCTGTTTATAAATCTGAATTGCTGTTCATTTTCCTCAGTAAGGTCCTCCTTTCGATCTTGGGCACACGAGGCCTTAGAATTTCCACCCACTTGCAATAATCAGCAGCGAAAGTATTTAGCATTTGTGATTGGATAATTGGATTTGTCAGCGATCTGTTAAGGGGCTGCTAGTTTGCTGGTGGTTTAATCTTATATCCTGATAGTCAAGTGTGGGCCAGTTTGTTGATCATTGAATCCATGGAGTGGACCCACACTGACTAAAAACAGGTCTGCAAACTTGGGGGACTCCCCAGGTTTGCAGGAAAAAAAATGAAAAGGTTGAAAAAATACATGGGATTAGTCTCCCCCATTTCAAGCGTGTGTCTGTGCAAGTGCAGCACCTACCTACTTGGTTGATGCAGAACTCAGAGTACCCCCCCCCCCAGCAGCAAGGCATCCACTGCCAGGACTCAGGCTGCCTCCCCCATCTTCGCCATGGGAACTGGCGGCAGTGGTACTGTCTGAAGGTGACGGCATCTCCATCCCTGCCCTTGCCCACAGCAGCATCAGCTTCAGATGGCCCTCCATGGTTACCACCAACTCTGGGCAGCCTTCTCCTGGGTCCCGCCAAAACCAGGCAGCCCTCTGTGGCTGCTACTGTTCCCAGACCCCTTCAGCTCCTGGCATCCTTGCTGCTGCCAGGCCAACCTCCATACTACCATAGTGTCATGGGTACTGGCTCTGCTGAGGCTGACTACTCCTCAGATGAGGAAGAGGGAAGGAGCAGCCCAGCCTCCTCTGGAGTCAGCCCAGAAGAAGAACCCCCAACAGCACCTGAGGAGGAAGAGTCCCCCAACGGCTGCACAGGAGGTGTAGCCAGAAGGAGAGACGGATCCCGCGCCTGGCCCAGCACCTCCAGTTGAAGGCACCCCGAGGCCAGACTCCCCACCCAGTTCTCCTGAGTGCCCTTAGACGTAGGGCACGTCAGAGGCTGACTATGCGGGAGCGAAGAAGTAGTGCCAGACTGCAGCTCTTGTAAAAGCAACGGAAGGAGCTGTAAGTCGTGGCAGACTTGACTCCCAGGGAAGGGAGAACCTGCTCATAAACACTCCACGCACCTGCCTCAGCGTGGTAGCAACTCTGCATACTCAGGTCTGCTTTGATGTGTAGCAACTGCTCCTTGTTCCTGATTCCAGCAATCATGAACTGATTTCCCGGCTGTTTGACCTTTGGCTTTGTTGTTTACCCTGATTCCGGACTGCGTTTCCAGTTTCCGGTGTGTAGGTAACCGTGGTAACCAGCTGAGCAGTACACATTGCCAGAACTGCTGCTGAAGCCAGTCAGCCCTCCACAGCTGCCACTGTGGCCAGGCCCACAGTAGCTCCTGGTCTTTTTTGCCACCAGGTCCACCTTCTCCCAATGTTGCAGCTACCTCCCTGGCCTGCAAGTTCCTTGTGGGTCCCCACTTCTTTAGTTTATACTTCTCACCTTTATGATGACATTAAAAGACATGACACAAGAGCCAGTGTGATGTAGTGATTAGAGTGCTGGATTAGGATCCGGGACACCCAGGTTTGAGTCACCACTCTGCCCAGAAAGCTTACGAGGTGCAACAGCCTGTCTTCTGACTTATAAAGATTGGGTAATTGGGGTGGTGGTGGTGGCTTGCTGGTTGACCTTGGGCCAGTTGCACACATTCAGCCTAACCTCCCTCTATACAGTTGCTGTGAGGATAAAATGGCGAAGAGGAGAATGCTATAAGCCACTGTGGGTCCCCACTGGGGGCACAAGTGGGGTATAAATGAAGTAAACAATTAAAAGATCCACAGAGACCCACATCCAGGAACTTAAAATTAGGATGGTACCTCTCTAAGCACAAGACAAATTTATTTTGCATTTAATAGTAAGGCTGTTACAAGAAGGGGTGGGCGTGCAAAGTATCATGCCACACATAATATGGGCATCAGAGGAGACTTTGGCCTTGTGCTTCTTGTACAGCACTAACCTGGTGTGGTGCTGCGGGAGTCTGAGGGAACTGTCGAAAGCAAAGTGTGTTTGGGATAGGGATTATCTTTCTAAAGAGCAACAGGCAAAAATCAAAACTCTTTAGTGCACCTAAAGTTGATATTTGAATCCTAGCTGTAGTTAGTTCCATCCTGGGTTTTGGGGGTACTTTCATTTATTTAAATCTGCAGAAAATATTTGCTCAGTTTTTGAAACCATTACTGTCATCTTTATTTTTTTCATGCATTTTTTAAAGAAACCAGTATACAATTTTTTCATTATTTCAGCCAAGAGGAAACATTTCTGCTCTCTTTGTTACAGAAATTGCCTTTACATTCCTGGTTTGTTTCTCCCTTAACCTCTCTTCCACTTATTTGATCCATGTAGCAAGAATTTTGTACAATTCCATGTAGCTTAGACCACTAAAAATTAATTTACAATTCTGGACTTTGACTGTTGAGAGTTCGTAAATGTACTGGTTATAATCCCTCCCCCCCGTAACTTTAGAAATGCAATCTTTAAGAAGATTAATTGATAAAAGGCAGACATGGAGATAGATGGACAGTTGGTCCCATTTCTTACCTTTCTGCACAATGCGGCTCTTTTAGAGATGCCTCCTTTGTAGTCCAAGATCTGTAAAAGATTTGGTTTCTTGTCACAGTAATAACTTCCGTGTACTAAAATAGAAGTCTCCTTCACGGTCAGGAAATATCATATTGCAACTAGTTCCCTGATTGGCTATATTTGTTTACTTTAATGCAGATCTAGTACATAGCATAGTGTAAAGTTGTATCTTATACTTTTCCCTTAGATCAGCTGACAAAATCCTTCCTTCTGTCTGTAAAAATGTGGTTTCCTGTAGCTTGAGCGTTTTAATAGTGCCGTGCTAACCAGAGGTGCACCTATGTAAGCCCATTGACTTCAATGAACTGAGAAGGGCATAGCTCTTCTTGGGATTTCACTGGAAGTCAATGTTTTTATAGAGTACATAAGAAGCAATTATACGATTGCAGAATTAGACTGAAATAAACATGCAATATAATCAGCATAAGTAAATTGCTTGGTAGATGTAAATCAGGATGACGGATTTCTTTTTCTATAATCCTTTGGAAATCCCCCTTTTGCTTGTATTTTGGCTTCTAAGCCAGAGAAACTCCTTCCTTTTACTACTCATGCCTGACGAAGGGAGCTTTGAGTCTCAAAAGTTTATATCCCCAAGATCTTTGTTGGTCTCCAGGGTGCTACTGGACTTGAATCTAACTGTTCTTCCTCCTTTTATTTCTCTAACTAATAAGAATATAAGAGAACATAAGAGAAGCCAGTGTTGGATCAGGCCAATGGCCCATCCAGTCTAACACTCGGTCACACAGTGGCCAAAAATACCAGGTGCCATCAGGAGGTCCACCAGTGGGGCCAGGACACTAGAAGCCCTCCCACTGTTGCCCCCCCCAAGCACCAAGAATACAGCGCATCACTTGTCCCAGCCTGAGAGTTTCTATTTATACCTTGTGGCTAATAGCCACTGGTGGACTTCTGCTCCATATGCTTATCTAATTCTGTCTTGAAGCTGTCCATGCTTGTAGCCGCCGCCACCTCCTGTGGCAGTGAATTCCATGTGTTAATCACTCTTTGGGTGAAGAAGTACTTCCTTTTATCTGTTCTAACCTGACTGCTCAGCAATTTCATTGAGTGCCCACGAGTTCTTGTATTGTGAGAAAGGGAGAAAAGTACTTATTTCTCGACCTGCTTTATCCCATGCATAATCTTATAAACCTCGATCATGTCACCCCTCACCTGTCGTTTCTCCAAGCTAAAAATTAGGGGCAATCAGGGCTCTTTTTGTAGCAGGAACTCCTTTGCATATTAGGCGACACACCCCTAAAGTAGCCAATCCTCCAAGAGCTTACAGAGCTCTTACAGGGGCTACTGTAAGCTCTTGGAGGATTGGCTACATTAGGGGTGTGTTGCCTAATATGCAAAGGAGTTCCTGCTACAAAAAGAGCCCTGGTGGCAATGTCAACTGAATGGTATATGAAAAAAGGAGACAGAATACATTTAGTTAAGTATCATACGTGTGTGAGAACTGAGAAATAAGAGAGCACTAAGAGATAGAGAAGGGATTTAGCAGCACATCTGTGTGAGAACAGGAGGATCTGTACGAAGTAGGCATTTTTTAAAAAGCCACCCAAGAATTGAGATGCAGCAGCAGTAGGCCTCTGTTGGAAGAGTGAGCTACTTTAAAGGTATGTCTCTGAGAAGCTGTAGGAAGTACAGAATCCTTAACCACCCTCCATCATCACTAGCCAAGACCTTGAGCGAGCTGAGTGCCACTTTCCAGAGGAAATTCACAGTTCCACATAGGATTTCTGGAGATGTAATCTCATTTTGTCTTGACCTGGATAGCCCAGGCTAGCCGATCTCATCAGATCTCAAGCTAAGCGGGGTCAGCCCTGGTTAGTACGTGGATGGGAGACCACCAAGAAGTCCAGGGTTGCGGCTTCCGGTCAGGCTCCCGCGAATGGCGGACGCATCCTCGGGTCGCTCCCGAGGTCGTCTCGCCCGCCCGCGGTGGAGGAGGGAATCCGCGTGAGCGGAGTTCGCATCCGGGGCGCTTTAGGGCGCACTAGGGAGGAATCTCTTTCTCGGCTGAACGGTCGGGATTTGAGACTCTCGCCATGCCCTGCCCCAATGGACCTTGCTGCGTGAGCGACCCCGTACGGGGTTTAGCGGAGCCACCAGACGTCACCGAGTGATAAAGCGAACAACCGATAAAAGGAAAAAAGAAAAGATCGGCTAAACTGTGAGTTGTCAAAATGTGGAGAAAAAGAATTAAGAGCGCCCCCCCCCCCCATCAGCG